GAGGGCGCGGATCCGGAGCTCCTGCTCCGGGGGTCGCTGCCGGCGGCTGAGCCCGGCTCAGGGTGCCGCAGAGCAGATCTGAGCTCTTGCCGGGGCTGGAAGTCCTTTTCTCAGGACTATTCGCTTCGCGTGCAGCGGGCAGCGAGCTGGGAGAAAAATAAGAATTGCTCAAAGTACGCGTGCGACACGTAGATAAGCTTTTCCACTTCCATTCTTTGTTGTTAAAAACTAAACCAGTGAGATGTTGTCCTGGTTTCAGCTGGGATAGAGTTCATTTTCTTCCTAGTGGCTGCGGTGGTTTGGATTTAGTATGGGAAGAATGTCGATAGCACGTATTGTTTTAGCTGTAGCTAAGTAATGCTTATATTAAATGAAGGACTTCTTGAGCTTACCCTAGAAGCTGCGAGGGAACTCAGACAGGGCAAGCTGTCCAAAGGAATACGCCGTAGCACAGATGTCATGCTCAGTACATAACTGGGGGTTGGCTGGGGGACAGGAATCCATGAGCGCTGCTTGGAATGGGCTGGGCAGCCAGTCCTTGGGGGCTGAGAGCAACTTGTGTTGCATCACTTTCTTTTGTATATTCTCTTAACATTATTTTTTTTTTTTTTGCCCATCTGGTTACTTTTCTATTAAACTGACTTTATCTCAGCCCACCAGTTTTTTTCCCCTCCTTTTCTCCCTCTTCTCCCTACTCTACTAAGGGGGGTTCAGGTGGGGGGGAGCGAGCGAGCGGTGGTGCTAGTTGCTGGTGGAGGTTAAACCACGGCAGATGTTATTAACGAAAATTCATAAAAACCTGCCTGGAAACTTGCTTTTTCCTGATCTACTTGGTATAATCACCGAATATTTCAATATTAATTCATATTGCACGTGGCTGTTCTTATCCTGGCCAAAAGGCTGTAGGAAACTTTTCTGTCCATCAGGTCTGTCGTGAAGTCAATGGGAGTTTTGCTGTCGACTTGGAAGGGAGCAGGATGAATCAAGAGTTTTATATTGCATTTTCAGATTCTTTTTATTTTAATTGACATCTTGTTTCCCATAAGAAGGTTGTGGTGTGTCTAGAGACTTACTTTGCTAGAATACCAGCACTGCATAATTTTCCAATTTCACGGTGTGTTTTCCATTTCTGTGCTAGTCATTAGGCTGTGGGCTGTGGTTTTACTCTTGTCTAGGAGACTTTTTTTTTTTTCTGACACAGAAGTGAAAGAGACCTTCGGCGTACGCTTGCATGCGTGTTCTTGAAAAGGCATCAGTTCGGCTTTCCAGGTTTCTTTGCCCAATGCTCAGTCATAGCGGTGCCCTCAGCAGCGGGGCATGAGGTTTCTCTTCAAGAGGGGCACTGGGGCACAACTTGGGCAACAGCTTCTGGCTTATGGCACTCCTGTGCTGCCCTTAGGCATGTACTAGGATATTGGTTAGGGTTCTTTGTCTGAAAGGAGGGATTTTTAGCTCAAATACCTTCAGAGGTCTCTGAACACAGCTGCTATTGAATGGGAATTGTTCACAGAACCATTATCTCAAGGGAAGCTGTGCTTGGAGGTTCCTCTTCTCAGTGGTCTCATGGGACATGAGAGAGGACTTTCCTTCCTGCTGCTGAGTCCCAGCTCCCGAGGGATTTCTTTGTGATCCGAGGCAGTGAGGTAGGGGAAAAGTTGAGGCTAGATGGTGTCCAACATGGGCTGTGGAAAGCTGGTTGGGGTGGCAAGAGCATCTTCCCGGAGAACTTCACCCTCAAAGGTCCCCCCAGCAGCCCCCTGCCATGGGGGACTGACAAATACAGGCTATGCCAGTAGGACAGCTGTACAAGTAGGACACTTCTACGCAAAACCTTGAGCTATATTTTGCTTTCTTCATGTGGTTTCTCTCTCTTATGATATAGGGCTCACAGAAAATTTGCGAGGAACGTCCTGGTGTTGCACAGGTGCTCCCCAAAGCAGAAACTCTTGGTCAATGCTCCCTCAGCCCAACGGTTAGGGAATATATTACTAAAACATGGGGTGGGTTTAATTTGCTGATAAAATGGAATATATCCTAATAGCGGTGAGTGTATTTTTTCCTGGTAGAAGAAGAAAAAATTGAAAGCTGTTACATTTGCTGTTTTAGAAATGGGAAGGTTTTTCTCAATTATCTGTAAAGAACCATGCCCGAATGATACCATTGTCACCACTCATTTATTTTCCCCATATCATATGAAACTGAAGTCCTTGCCATGCTGCGCTGCTGAAGATCCTTGTACACCTATTGCAGGATCAGAGGTGATAAATCCAGAGAACTGTTGAAGCTCCATCACTTGTAATCACACTCTGCAGACTCAAATCTCCCCCCCGGAGCAGCAATCCCATGTGTATCGTGGTGAGAGTCACTGGGGCAGACGCTGAACGTGGGGATTGTACTGGTTTGGATGGGTGGTGAGTTGAGTGTGGCCATTTTCTGCTCCTTTTGCCCGATTTGTACCACATCTGTATTCTCTGCCTGGCTGCACTTGGGTTTTGGCCGTAGACAATGAAAGTGTACTCTTGTGTAAGGCACTATTTATTTAGATTTGGGAAAAATTACAGACCTCTGGGCTGGGCTTTGATGTTCCTTAGGGATGATATACAGCCTAACATCTGACATTAATATTATTTTGGTGAGTCAGATTTAATATTTTCTACGTCAGCAGCATCCGAAAGTGAACGGCAAGTTCTTTTCAAATTGAAGAATCCATGTGCTTTTTATGGCATAGCGTGTCCTGATCTCAGGTACTCATCTCAGGAGGCAAAAGAAGGATTAGACAGGTGGAGGGATGCTTTTGTTATTAAAGCAACAAAGATCGGGGTATATCATGTACGCATTTAGAGATAGAGTATGGTAATTGCATACCATAGTCTATTAAAACTGTTACAAGATGTATGATTTTACATGAGAAAATGTAATTCCACTGGCTTTATTTCAACCATAAATTGCCCTTGCTGAAATTAGCCTCCAGAGAAAAATAAGAACCATTCTGGGTCTAGCTATAAAACTGTAACATTATTGTAGTCAAAACTGGATGAAACTCCGCTCTTGGCGATGCTACG